AATGTGTGTGTGTGTGTGTGTGTGTGTGTGTGTGTGTGTGTGTGTGTGTGTGTGTGTGTGTGTGTGTGTGTGTGTGTGTGTGTGTGTGTGTGTGTGTGTGTGTGTTCATCTATTTGGTAGACGCTTTTATCCAAATCGACTTACAATTTATAACCTATAGGGCATGTTGTGATCTGTGGGGGAAACCGAAGTACCCGGAGGAAACTCACGCATGCATGGGGAGGACACGCAACTCCACGCAGAAAGGCCGCAGCCGAGTTTCGAACTTGCAACAAGGGAATGTTGTAATACAATTCCTCACCAGGACAGCAGAGGGCGTAGCGCTATTCTGAGGTATCCCGCCACCATTACATTCATGTATCCGGTTCACGAGTGTGTCTACTAATGTGTTTGAACAAGGACAAATTTGTCCCTCAGTCCCCTCCACCTCATCGTGCGAACGACACCTCTCAACCCACGTTTCTCGTCTTTTTCCTCCACGAATAAAGTGCTTGCTCCAAATCTTTGTACTCCTTCAGTAATGGGTGAATAAACATTCATATTTTCATTGCATTCTTCAATCTGTTCCATGTCTGCCGCTAAATACATCTTTACTTTTGCAGTGGAAAAGACAGCGCTGTTGACGAATAAACAGGAAGCAGCATCTTGACCAATCACAAGCTTGTGTTCTCCGTCTTTTTCGACGAATAGTTAAAATTTGGGGCATCGCCCATCAGATGGCTCTTGCGTTGACACATATTGGTGTTGCTTGTGTCCGTCCCAACACAGACGGAGAAGTATAAATTATGCTTAAGGATGAATTTTTCAGTGGAATAAACATTTCGGATGGAAGAACAGGATACAATTCCATGACTAAAAATGACCATCATGCTCCTGACTAGCAAAAGCAGGAGGGGCCATGGTGCTGACTACGAAACGGAGGAGGGGCCATGCTCCTGACTAGCAAAAGGAGTAGGGGCCATGGTGCTGACTAGCAAAAGGAGGAGGGTCCATGCTCCTGACTACGAAACGGAGGAGGGGCCATACTCCTGACTAGCAAAAGGAGGAGGGGCCATGCTCCTGACTAGGAAAAGGAGGAGGGGCCATGGTGCTGACTAGCAAAAGGAGTAGGGGCCATGGCTCCTGACTACGAAAAGGAGGAGGGGCCATGGTGCTGACTAGCAAAAGGAGGAGGGGCCATGGTGCTGACTAGCAAAAGGAGGAGGGGCCATGCTCCTGACTAGGAAACGGAGGAGGGGCCATGCTCCTGACTAGCAAAAGGAGGAGGGGCCATGCTCCTGACTAGGAAAAGGAGGAGGGGCCATGGTGCTGACTAGCAAAATGAGTAGGGGCCATGGCTCCTGACTAGCAAAAGGAGTAGGGGCCATGGTGCTGACTAGCAAAAGGAGGAGGGTCCATGCTCCTGACTACGAAACGGAGGAGGGGCCATACTCCTGACTAGCAAAAGGAGGAGGGGCCATGCTCCTGACTAGGAAAAGGAGGAGGGGCCATGGTGCTGACTAGCAAAAGGAGTAGGGGCCATGGCTCCTGACTACGAAAAGGAGGAGGGGCCATGGTGCTGACTAGCAAAAGGAGGAGGGGCCATGGTGCTGACTAGCAAAAGGAGGAGGGGCCATGCTCCTGACTAGGAAACGGAGGAGGGGCCATGCTCCTGACTAGCAAAAGGAGGAGGGGCCATGCTCCTGACTAGGAAAAGGAGGAGGGGCCATGGTGCTGACTAGCAAAATGAGTAGGGGCCATGGCTCCTGACTACGAAAAGGAGGAGGGGCCATGGTGCTGACTAGCAAAAGGAGGAGGGGCCATGGTGCTGACTAGCAAAAGGAGGAGGGGCCATGCTCCTGACTAGGAAAAGGAGGAGGGGCCATGGTGCTGACTAGCAAAAGGAGGAGGGGCCATGCTCCTGACTAGGAAAAGGAGGAGGGGCCATGGTGCTGACTGGCAAAAGGAGGGGCCATGCTGCTGATAAACTCAAGGAGGAGCGGCCATGGTGTAGACTAGCTTAAGGAGGAGGGGCCAAGTTGCTGATAAGCACGAGGAGGCGGAGTCTGGCTGCCGTGTCTGAGCATGAATCTTTCACTCACTACTGAGGCTCCATGATTAAAGTGTAAGTGTTGTTTTTTCTTGATATGGGAGAGTTCAGTCAGCTGATCCATCAAGCAGCTCAGAACCAGAACCATGCAGTCAGGGCACAAACCACATACAATATGTGACCTCTTTGGAATGATCGGGGCTTCTGCACCAATTGGTCAAAAAATGTGATCTGATCTTCATCTGAGTCAGAAGAATAGATGATCAAAGTCTGCTTAAACTAAGAATTACATATTTCCATGTTGTTTTTGAACACACCATGGAAAGATTCACAGTGAAGGTGGAAAAAAAATGGGAACCCCTGGATACAGTACCTGGTTGAACCTCCTATGGCAGCAATAACTTCACCCAAACATTTCCTGTAGTTGCAGATCAGACGTGAACCACGGTCAGGAGCCATTCTTCACCGTTCCTCCGTACAGAACTGTTTCAGTTCAGCAAAGTTCCCTTTCATGAGGTTACGCCACAGCATCTCAGTCAAGTTGAGGTCACGACTCTGACTGAGCCAATCAGAAGGCCTACTTTCTTCTGAGTTTTGGGTTGCTGTCCTGTTGCACCAACCATCTTCTGTTGAGCTTCAGCTGGTGGACAGAGGGCCTTAGGTTCTCCTGCAAAATGTCTTGATAAACTCGGGAATTCATTTTTCCTTTGATAACGGTAGATGGTACCAGAGATGGTAGCAGAGCAGCCCCAAACCATGATGCCCCCACCACCATATTTCACAGTTGAGATGAGGTCTTGATGTTGGTGAGATGCTCCTCTTTTTCTCCAAACATAGTGTTGGGTACTTCTAATCAACTCAACTTTGGTTTCATCTGTCCACAGAACATTTTGCCAGTACTGCTGTGGAACATCTGGCATACGCCAGAGGTTTGGTGAGTCTTTAGCTGACACTCTAGTAACTTTCTTTACCTCAGTGAGCATTTAGTGCTGTGCTCTTTTGGTCACCTTTACAGGACGGCTACTCCTAAGGAGAGTCTTCTCGTCCCTGATGGTAGCTCCAGCGTACCACACAGTGATAGAAGAGGTGAGGATGACTCGATGACTGCGGTGTAGAACTGCCTCATCCACTGCACTGATAGGTAGAATTTCTTCAGCTGCATCAGGAAGTTTTATGATGGGGGTGATGGTGGGCTCCCACTGGAGGTCTTGGGTGATGGTGGTGCCCAGGAAGACACATAAGTCCACCATCGTGATGGGAGTGTCAGACAGGGTTATGGGGGAAGGGGGCCGTCTTCTGGGCGTTTAGCACCAGGTTGTTGTGGCTGCTCCAGGTTCCACCTCCATTCGGCAGGCAGACTCATCCCCGACAGAGATGAGTCCGATGAGTCAAGTGCTCACCTGGGACGGAGGAGGTCTGGGAGGACTGTGTTGAAGGCAGAGCTGAAGTCCACCAACAGGATCCTGGCGTAGGTACACGGGGAGTCCAGATGCTGCAGGATGAAGTATAGAGCCATGCTGATGGCATCATCTACAGGCCTGTTGGCTTTGTAGGCAAACAGCAGCAGGTCCAGGAGGGGGGGCTGTGAGGGTCTTGAGGTGGGGGAGAACCAGGTGCTCAGATGACTTCATGACCTCAGATGTGAGAGCCACAGGTCTGTAGTCATTGAGTCCAGTGATCCTTGGCTTCTTGGGGACAGGGACTATGGTGGTGGTCGTGGCGGGAACATGGCATGCCTCCAGTGAGGAGTAGAAAATGCCCGTAAAGACTGGGACTAAGTTGTGACCGATTAGTGCAGAAATCCCTACGATTCTAAAAGGTTCCCATGCTTTAGTCCTGCAGCTGTTCCCTCTCACCAGCTCTACCTGCTAGTCGTGTAACTTCTCAGCCTTCATAACCACATCAGATAGTAGAAGCATCATTACAACGAAGAAATAATCAACCAAACACTCTTTTGATTTCCTGGATTACCGCCAAGTCCCGCCCACTCAGCAACTACCATGATACCCAGTGAACCCATTAATCTTACTGTACTGGTGGATTAAAAATAGTGATCTTGCTTTCCATTTCCATGCTTTGTTTCTTTTTCATGGTTTTCTGCAGGTTTCAAAAGCTTCAGACGTTGGTCAAAGTTTCACTGAAATCCCACAGAAGATGTTGTGGATGTTGGAGGGCATCCTGAAGAACCAGCACCCAGGTGTAACACTATTAACTAATCAGCCAATCAGACGGCGGCATCTAAACTGACCTGCTGGAGACCAACTTGAGCATCAGGACCATGTAAGGGACTTTGAGCATGTTGACACCAGACAGTCTGATCTACTGGGGTTTGAACCCACAATCATCTACAGGGTCAGAGGTCAGCAAAAACCCATACCAGGTGTCTCTCCTGTCAGCTAAGAACAGGAACCCAAGGCTTTAGTTCCTAAGCATCACCAGAACTGGACCAGAAGGGACTGAAAACCCCTATCCTGGTCTGGTGAGTTTGGACTTCAGCTGAATCCTAACCCTAGCCCCAACTGGACTGAACCTTTGAGATGTGGTGAAACCTTCTCACCATGAATCGAGCAGATGCCGTCATGTCCGGATGGACCAGAACCTGTGAGGAACGTTTAAAACACTTGGTTGGATCTGTGACACCAAGGATGAGATTAAGGTGGTCTGACCGGTGAGGGACCACGTCGAATAAGTGGAGGAACACGTCTGCAGATAAAACTGGAGCATCTTTTATTTTTCTTTAAACGCTGAACGCATCTCCTTCACGGTGAGCTACCAGAGCACCAGATGAAGCTGAGCTAAAGTGGACCAATGGGACAACTCTTCAGTACCTTCATCCCAGATCATTATATAATCCAGCAGCTCTGACTGCATCAGCTTCCACACCCAGCACCCAAGGCCGGGGAGTCCACCCACAGAGAGACAGGAGACAGGACAGGACAGCGGGAGGGACACATGATGGTTGGACACTTACTTCATCTGTTTGACGATGGTGCTTTTCCCTGACTCTCCGGCCCCTGGGGGGACAAAGACAGGAGAAGACAGTAAACAGGGTGCGCGCGCGAGCGTTTGTCCGCGCGTGCACGTGGGGGTTCAGCCACTTCAAATCATACATGTAAGCTCAGCCGGGGGGTGGGGGGTTCTGATTAGATCACTAGCATAAAGACCGGCTCCCTGAGCGGACCGGTCCGGTCGAACAGAACCAGGCCTGCAGCAGCATCCCCGCCACACCTTCACCGGGGCTCTCCGGTTCAGACCGGGAAGCAGCGCCTGGTTCCGTTAACACCGAACCCCTCATCACCTGCTCTGATTTCGTGGCTTTTCCCGGTGAACGCCTCATTTCCTCGCGCCGCCACGCCTTTCGGCCGCGGCGGGAACACGGAGGCCGCGGAGCGGGTCTTACCGAGCAGCAGCAGCTTGACGTCTTTGGCGGCGGTCAGCCCGTCCTCCTTCAGGTTCTTCTCGATGGCTTTGCTCCGGTCCAGAGCCGCCCGCTCCTCTGCGCTCAGCGTACATCCCATGGTTAGAGAACACAGCTTGATGGCGTACGGTACCGGTTCCGAACTTAAGAGGTCCGCGCAGAAAACGCAGCGACGTGAGGATGAGTTGGAGGAAAACCCGGACTCCAGATCCTTTCTGAGCTGCCGAACCCTCGCACTCGTTCTGGGCCGCACCCTCTCAGACCGCTGAGCGCCGGTAAAGCATTTAAATCACCGATCCGTTCGGTTCGGTCCAGAGAGAAAAGAGAAGCCAACACGGTGGAGCCTCCGGTCTCCGTTTCCTTCTGTCTGTCGGTAAAATCTCGTTCCCGTCTCCGTGCGCGTTACTGGGCGGTGGTGCGCGGCGCTCGCATCGCTCGGTTCTGACGGTTTTCGGTTCCTCCGGGGCGGACTAGCTCTGTGGCTCTACTGCCTCCCGGTAGCTCCGGTAGCGGCTCGTTCGGTCCTCCGTTAGTTCATCTGTTCACTTGCAGGTTGCTGACGTAACAGCAGCAGAACCGAACGTGGGAGCTCGTGGGTCCGGTCCCAGTGGCGCAGCCTGGTGGCGGATCGGATCCTCCAGAACTGGAGGAATATTTGAAAATGTTCTGGAACCAAAAACAGACTCAGAACCACGTCATCTGCAGGTGTTCCTCACCAGAACCTCTAGATCCACGGAACCACACCATCCAGGATCGCTCAGGTTCAGGTTCTGGTTCTGGAGGACCACTATCCTGCTGACTCAGGTGTTGGAGCAGAGAAACCCCTAGAACCAGAACCGCAACCGGAGCTAAACAGCTGTGAACATCTGTTCTAATGACTAATAAAATAAATGTGTTCTAAAGATAAAAATAAACTTTCAGACTTCATGTTTTTGTTTTGGGTTCTGACAACTGAACTGGACAGGGTCAGAACCCTGACCCGACCCCGTGGTGACGTTTCTCCTCTGTGATAAACCAGATGGCCTGACTAGAACTGTTCATCAGGCCCGTTTGGACCACCTGCACCAACAGCAGCTGTGAAGAATACAGCAGATTCACTCCTTTTGTCTGATAGGACCTGGTTCTGGTCCTGGTTCTGCTGCAGCAACACAAAGTGGGCCTGATGCAACACTTGAGGTGAACAAGAACGAGCTAGAACATAACCATCGTGGAGCTCAGTGTCATGATGTGCCCCTTTTTGTCCCCAGCTCCCTCTTTTTCCCTCATGTTCTCCATTCTCGCCACCTTTTGGTTTATGTTTCGGTTCTCCTGTCTCCTTTAGTGTGTGTGTTTCCTTTCCCACTTAGATCATTCCTTTTCTTCTTTTCAGATTGCCCTGTATCTTTGTTTCTACTATGTTTTCAGTTTAGTTTGGTTATTTGGTTTTCCGGATTAGATTTGGTTTTCTCTCCTGCTTATTTCTGCTTCTCCTCAGTTCATTGTTTTCACCTGTGCCCAGTTCCCCCACACCTGCCCCTCGTCTCCTGTCACCCAGCCCCTGTAAATATACCCTGTCTGTGTCTCTGTGTTGATGTTTGTCAGCGTTTTTTTGTCCCCCCCCTCTTGGTCTCTAGTTCTCTGCTCATAAAGTGAGCTTTTGGTTTTGTTTTTGCAGCGTTTTGTTGTTGGGTTTTGGCTTCCAGCCCTTTTGGATTTTTATTTGGTTTTTGTCGTCCTAAATAAAGGATTTTACTTTTATCACCACTCCTGCCTCGTGTCGTCCAGGGGTTCTGCATTTTGGGTCCAACCCTCCTGATCTCAATGTGACACTCAAATGATCCTCAGAAACCTCCACCAGCTTCATCAGCTCCACCCAGAACCGGAACCAGAACCCTGAATGTATGGCGCTGTTTCAGAAAAGGAAGTTCGTTTAATTTAGTTCATCCTTCACATTTGATTTTAGGGTCCAGTTATCTTCATCAACCTTTGTCCAGAAGGTGTCAACCATCCATCCATCATCAATCCATCATACCTCCATCCATCCACCATCCCTTTATCATCCATCCACCATCCCTTTATCATCTGTCCATCATCCCTTTATCATCTGTCCATCATCCCTTTATCATCCATCCACCATCCCTTTATCATCCATTTATCCATCAACCATCCCTTTATCATCCATCCACCATCCCTTTATCATCTGTCCATCATCCCTTTATCATCTGTCCATCATCCATCCATCATCCCTTTATCATCTGTCCATCATCCCTTTATCATCTGTCCATCATCCCTTTATCATCCATCCACCATCCCTTTATCATCCATTTATCCATCAACCATCCCTTTATCATCCATCCACCATCCCTTTATCATCTGTCCATCATCCCTTTATCATCTGTCCATCATCCCTTTATCATCCATCCATCATCCATCCATCATCCCTTTATCATCTGTCCATCATCCCTTTATCATCTGTCCATCATCCCTTTATCATCCATCCATCATCCCTTTATCATCCATCCACCATCCCTTTATCATCCATTTATCCCTCCACCATCCCTTTATCATCTGTCCATCATCCCTTTATCATCTGTCCATCATCCCTTTATCATCTGTCCATCATCCCTTTATCATCCATTCATCATCCCTTTATCATCCATCCACCATCCCTTTATCATCCATTTATCCCTCCACCATCCCTTAATCATCTGTCCATCATCCTTTTATCATCTGTCCATCATCCCTTTATCATCCATCCATCATCCCTTTATCATCCATCCACCATCCCTTTATCATCCATCCATCATCCCTTTATCATCCATCCACCATCCCTTTATCATCCATCCACCATCCCTTTATCATCCGTCCATCATCCCTTTATCATCTGTCCACCATCCCTTTATCATCCATTTATCCCTCCACCATCCCTTTATCATCCATCCATCATCCCTTTATCATCCATCCACCATCCCTTTATCATCCATCCATCATCCCTTTATCATCCATCCACCATCCCTTTATCATCCATCCATCATCCCTTTATCATCTGTCCATCATCCCTTTATCATCTGTCCATCATCCCTTTATGATCCATCCATCATCCCTTTATCATCCATCCACCATCCCTTTATCATCTGTCCATCATCCCTTTATCATCTGTCCATCATCCCTTTATCATCTGTCCATCATCCCTTTATCATCCATCCATCATCCCTTTATCATCCATCCATCATCCCTTTATCATCCATCCACCATCCCTTTATCATCCATCCATCATCCCTTTATCATCCATCCACCATCCCTTTATCATCCATCCACCATCCCTTTATCATCCATCCATCATCCCTTTATCATCCATCCACCATCCCTTTATCATCCATCCATCATCCCTTTATCATCCCTCCACCATCCCTTTATCATCTGTCCATCATCCTTTTATCATCTGTCCATCATCCCTTTATCATCCATCCACCATCCCTTTATCATCCATTTATCCCTCCACCATCCCTTTATCATCTGTCCATCATCCCTTTATCATCTGTCCACCATCCCTTTATCATCCATTTATCCCTCCACCATCCCTTTATCATCCGTCCATCATCCCTTTATCATCTGTCCATCATCCCTTTATCATCTGTCCATCATCCCTTTATCATCCATCCACCATCCCTTTATCATCTGTCCATCATCCCTTTATCATCTGTCCATCATCCCTTTATCATCTGTCCATCATCCCTTTATCATCCATCCACCATCCCTTTATCATCTGTCCATCATCCCTTTATCATCTGTCCATCATCCCTTTATCATCCATTTATCCCTCCACCATCCCTTTATCATCCGTCCATCATCCCTTTATCATCTGTCCATCATCCCTTTATCATCTGTCCATCATCCCTTTATCATCCCTCCACCATCCCTTTATCATCTGTCCATCATCCCTTTATCATCTGTCCACCATCCCTTTATCATCCATTTATCCCTCCACCATCCCTTTATCATCCGTCCATCATCCCTTTATCATCTGTCCATCATCCCTTTATCATCTGTCCATCATCCCTTTATCATCCATCCACCATCCCTTTATCATCCGTCCATCATCCCTTTATCATCTGTCCATCATCCCTTTATCATCTGTCCATCATCCCTTTATCATCCATCCACCATCCCTTTATCATCCGTCCATCATCCCTTTATCATCTGTCCACCATCCCTTTATCATCCATTTATCCCTCCACCATCCCTTTATCATCCTTCCATCATCCCTTTATCATCTGTCCATCATCCCTTTATCATCTGTCCATCATCCCTTTATCATCCATCCACCATCCCTTTATCATCCGTCCATCATCCCTTTATCATCTGTCCATCATCCCTTTATCATCCATTTATCTATCCATCATCCCTTTATCATCCGTCCATCATCCCTTTATCATCCATTTATCCCTCCACCATCCCTTTATCATCCGTCCATCATCCCTTTATCATCTGTCCATCATCCCTTTATCATCCATCCACCATCCCTTTATCATCTGTCCATCATCCCTTTATCATCTGTCCATCATCCCTTTATCATCCATTTATCCCTCCACCATCCCTTTATCATCTGTCCATCATCCCTTTATCATCTGTCCATCATCCCTTTATCATCTGTCCATCATCCCTTTATCATCTGTCCATCATCCCTTTATCATCTGTCCATCATCCCTTTATCATCCATCCACCATTCCTTTATCATCCGTCCATCATCCCTTTATCATCTGTCCATCATCCCTTTATCATCCATCCACCATCCCTTTATCATCCGTCCATCATCCCTTTCTCATCTGTCCATAATCCCTTTATCATCCAATTATCTATCCATCATCCCTTTATCATCCATCCATCATCCCTTTATAATCCGTCCATCATCCCTTTATCATCCATCCATCATCCGTCCATCATCCATCCATCATCCCTTTATTGTCCGTCCACCATCCATTTATCATCCATCCATCATCCGTCCATCCATCCACCATCCCTTTATCATCCATCCATCATCCATCCATCATCCCTTTATCGTCTGTCCACCATCCATTTATCATCCATCCATCATCCGTCCATCCATCCACCATCCCTTTATCATCCATCCATCATACCTCCATCCATCCACCATCCCTTTATCATCCGTCCATCCCAAGGTGTTTTCTAATCTAGATGGTCTAAAATTCCTCCAGAGAGTTCTGGATCGTTCCTGGGTTTTCTTCCCACTTGCAGGAGAACCTGCAGAGAGAGGAGACCAGAAAATGTCACCACCTTCTTAGTTCTACAGCCCCCCAAGGCGCTTCATTCACTTATTCACACACTGGTGGGGATGAGCTACGATTTAGCTAAAGTGTCTTATCGCACCACCAAGATGTCTGACGAGCTGCAGGATCAAGAGCAGAAAGAGTACCGCCCCCACAGAGCCAATCAGAAGGCTGGGATGTTCATCCAACTCCTACTACCTGTTCTGTCCTCAGAAGCAACAGAGAGGCAGCGGATCATGTCCACTCCTCTGTAGGAACAGGAAGATGAAGAGGGGCTGATGGGAAGTCATGATGGAAGGGTGTGTAGGTTACGTCAGGTGGAGAGATACACTCAACAAAAATATAAATGCAACACCTTTGTTTCTGCTCCGATTTTTCATGAGATGGACTTAAAGATCTAAAATTCATTCCAGATACACAATATTACCATTTCTCTCAAACATTGTTCACAAATCAGTCTAAATGTGTGATAGTGAGCACCTGTGCTTTGCTGAGATAATCCATCCCACCTCACAGGTGTGCCACATCAAGATGCGGATCCAACATCATGAGTAGTGCACAGGTGTACCTTACACTGCCTACAATAAAAGGCCACCCTGGAATGTGCAGTTTTTTTTATTTATTGGGGGTCTGGGGAATCAGAACCAGTCAGTATCTGGTGTGACCACCATTTGCCTCATGCAGTGCAACACATCTTCTTCGCATAGAGTTTATCAGATTGTCAATTGTGGCCTGTGGAATGTTGGTCCACTCCTCTTCAATGGCTGTGCGAAGTTGTTGGATATTTGTGGGAACTGGTACACACTGTCGTATACGCCGGTCAAGCCCATCCCAAACAGCTCAACAGGTGACATGTCCGGTGACTATGCTGGCCATGCAAGAACTGGGACATTTTCAGCTTCCATGACTTGTGTACGGATCCTTGCAACATGGGGCCGTGCATTATCTTGCTGAAACATGAGGTGATGTTCATGGATGTACGACACAACAATGGGCCTCAGGATCTCATCACGGTATCTCTGTGCATTCAAAATGCCATCAATAAAATGCACCTGTGTTCTTCGTCCATAACAGATGCCTGCCCATACCATAACCCCACCACCACCACAGGCCACTCGATCCACAATATTGACATCAGCAAAGCGCTCACCCACACGACGCCACACACGCTGTCTGCCATCTGCCCTGAACAATGTAAACCAAGATTCATCTGTGAAGAGAACACCTCTCCAACGTGCCAGACGCCATCGAATGTGAGCATTTGCCATCTCAAGTCTGTTACGTCGACAAGCTGGAGTCAGGTCAAGACCTCGATGAGGACGACGAGCATGCAGTTGAGCTTCCCTGAGACGGTTTCTTACAGTTTGTGTAGAAATGGTTTGGTTATGCAAACCAATTGTTTCAGCAGCTGTCTGAATGGCTGGTCTTAGACAATCTTGGAGGTGAACCTGCTGGATGTGGAGGTCCTAGGCTGGTGTGGTTACACGTCGTCTGCGGTTGTGAGGCCGGTTGGATGTACTGCCATATTCTCTGAAATGCCTTTGGAGACGGCTTATGGTGGAGAAATGAACATTCAATACACAAGCAACAGATCTGGTTGACATTCCTGCTGTCAGCATGCTAATTGCACGCTCCCTCAATGTTTGTGGTATCTGTAGCATTTTGCTGTGAGACAAAACTGCACATTCCAGGGTGGCCTTTTATTGTGGGCAGCATAAGGTACACATGTGCACTACTCATGATGTCAGATCCGCATCTTGATGTGGCTCACCTGTGAGGTGGGATGGATTATCTCAGCAAAGCACAGGTACTCACAGATGTGTGTGTTTGTGTGTGTCTGCTCTGTCTTCTCCATCCCCAGTGAGTCGTGGCAGATGGCTGCTTATACTGAGCCAGGATCCTCTGGAGTTTTCTTCCTGTTAAAAGGGAGTTTTCCTCTCCACTGTTGCTATATGCTTGCTTAGTATGAGGATTGCTGTAAAGTCACTGACACTAGTCAGTGACTTGTTGCAATTTGCTGGGTTCCTTATATAGGAAACATTTTTTTCTGATTGGCTTAATGAACTGACCTGGATTGGAATGTTTATTATGTGAAGTGCCTTGAGACGACTCTTGTCGTGATTTGGCGCTTTATAAATAAACTTGAAATGAATTGAACTATTACACATTTAGACTGATTTGTGAACAATGTTTGAGTTATGGTAATATTGTGTATCTGGAACAAATTTTAGATCTTTAAGTCCATCTCGTGAAAAGTCGGAGCAGAAACAAAGGTATTGCGTTTATATTTTTGTTGAGTGTAGAAATGATAAATGACACAATCAGAAATCAGATTAGAGGCAGACGACTTTCCAATCTGATAGATTAAAACATGAACTCTTATATCTGATGAGTTGTTCTCATTTATCTTTAAAATGTTCAACTATCTTAACAATGTTTACCTCCCAAGCTTCCATGAACATAGGTGATCGATGACAAATGTATGAAAGCTAAACGAGATAAAAAGTTCTGAATCTCATATTTGATTTCATTCAGACACAAATCTAACGGTTGTTGTCATTAGCAGATCCACACAAGGATTACCGTTCATGTTCCCAGTGCAGTGACCCATACCTGGAAAACTTATCACCATGGCAACAACTGACACGAGCCAGTTAAAAGCAGCTGATTCATGCTCACCTTTGGAGAGGTGATGTCCTGATTTCCACGTTTCCTGCTCCTGCACACATGGATCCGATGATCTATTCGCCTTCTCACCACCTGAAGACTCAGGTGTGCTGGAGGACCGAGCCTGACCTCTGACCTGGAAAGGTGTCAAAACTACAGTTTCACGTTTAAATGTTTACTTGCTGACAAACGCCATCAGAGCCCAAAACTCTGAATGTTTGGGATAAATTCAGGGCCGGATTATCATTGCAGGGGCCCCTGGGCACAATGTGGCCCAGTTTGCCCATATTATAATCCGGCCTGGGATAAATTAAACAGACAACCCTAATAATAAACAGATACTCATGTACGTTCCAGGCTCTTATTTTGAAGGATTGGAGGAAGTTCTGTGGAGGCTGCTACAGGAGTAGCTAACAGCTAGCACCTTGTTTCAACTGCTTTCTTCTTCTTCCAACAGGAGGGTATGAAGGTGGAGAGGCAGGAAAATTACCCACTGGAAACAAAGGAAGATTAAAAAAGAAAGGAAGCAAAACCAACAACTGAAGTGATTTAAGCTCAGATGCATGACGAAGTTAGGACAAGTCACAATTAACATTTTTTGATGTCCCAGATGTTTTTCCCACCAACACTCTCAGGCTGATGGGCGTGGAGGAAATCTAATTTGCAGGATTCCCAGATGGAATATGAGCTCCATCTGAGATGAAACCGGAGACGAACTCAGCTCAAACACCACCATCACCGTCCAGGAGTTTCACAGGGATACATCCTGAAGGCTCTGGAGTCTCCTCGTCCCACCTGTGAGCCAGAACTCTCCTTTGAAGAAATTATTTTTATCCCCACAAGTTGTCCGGTTTCGATCGTTCCCAAGCGCAGCCGCTGCTGCAGCTCACCGGCACATCTCAGGTTTCATTTGTAGTAAGGGATGTAGGATTTCTGAGGTTACCTGAGATCAGGTAAACTTCAGGTCTGAAGCTTCCAGGGGAGGAACAACGCTCCACCGTGACACCCTGGTTTCCATCAGAGGTCAACATGAGGTCCTGAACATCATCTGTTCTGACAAATATCAGAACCCCATCCTAGAGCAACATTATACCAAATAAAACTGGACCAGTCCCAGAACTGAACCCTGAGGGACCCCAAAGGCTGGAAGTCTGAAACATCTCCAAGAACAGCAGGAGGTCCAGGTTCCTGGTGAAGATCTGAGGATAATGAAGTTTTATTTGGATGGATCCATTTGGATTTGAGATGAACAGAATAGCTGGTAACAGGTGTGTGTGTGTGTGTTATGAGCCTGAGCAGAGAAGGGCTGAAACGTCCACTCACGATCCCTTCATGAGTCTTAAGCTAACAGGAAGTGCTTAAATCTGAGCTCCTTTTGAATCTGCAAGTAGACGAAGGATCAGGAACCATTAAGCGTTTGATCTTTTATTAGGATTAGCCACTTAAACGTTTCACACACAGGTGGATTACATGTTCAGGTACTCTAACAACACACTTTAGCCTTTGCAAAAATCAAAAACAGTTCACTTTTTCAGCATGTGGCCCACTCTAAAGCACCTGGGCACTAAGCTCCTCCCCTTCAGGTGTTTGCTACACCTGGTTTTTTATTTGCTACGACAGAAACGCTGTTTCTGAACGCTGATGGCGAGGTGCTCTGGGTGCTGGGCGTGGCTTGAACACACCTGTTCATCTCCAGTGCAAATGATGGAAAAATAAAAACGGAATAAATGAGGAACACAACAGCACAGTGTGCTTTTTCATCACTCAGAAAAGTTTTTACACTCATAAAAATCATTCAGAACAAAAATAAAAAGCTAGTTCTAAAATGTGTTTCTTACAAATGTGACTTTAGTGCAATTTAATCAGTTTTTACCAAACTCAACCGTTCTCTAACCTGCTAACCCCTAAATGATGCCCAGCAGGTGGTCTCGTGTTTGGTTTCATGTTAAAACTGTAAATATGTCAACATCTCAGGAGGACCTGTGAGGGCTTTAGCAGAGTTGCACTTCCGACATCCAGATTTAACATCCAGAGTAGTCCTGATGTAAATCTGCTTTTAGCCAAGCAGCCAGAAGCTTTTGTCTCCTTCAGCTTTGGGAAAAGGTTCAGATGTGGTCCAGATCAGCCAAACTTCTCCTGAATGACAGCTGGGCTTGTAGCTTAGCTGTGGGCTACATCCGCGCTCCCGCTGTTGTTGAGCTCAGCATGAATAGCAGGGCTTTTAGCCCCGCAGACTAACACTATCCTTCAGAAGTGCATCCTAGAGTCACGTGTTCCAGTCCACAACTCGCAGCTCCGTGTCCTCGTGTCCTACATTCCTACGGTCATCCGTGTATTGCAGCTTCCGCACAGTTCTGTACATTATTGCACAATTCAACTTATCGTATTTGGTACAAAACAAAACTGCTGCTTGCAACCAGCGCTGAGCACTTTCCACATTTACACCCATTATGCTTTCATTTGTTTCATCAGAGTTAAACACGTCTTCAACCACATCACTAAAGCACTCCAACGTTTACCAGAACACAGAAAACAGGCTCAAACTGTGTGTTTGTGTCGGAGTCTGCAGCGCTGCCGAACTACCGAAACAAAGCGGCTGCTGTCTTTGTTCTAACTAGTCGTCACGGTTGTGCAAAGATGCAGAAGTACTCGTGCTCTTGTCAAATGAAAAGTCAACACTTGTCTGTGTTTCTTTCAGATTTCACATTCAAATCGATGGAAGAGGTGTAATGAAGGCCGCGGTGGGTGGAGACACGTTAAGCTGTGTTGGGGGGGGGGGGGGGAGATCACTTCAGAAAGTCTCGTCTCATCTGCTCCAACATGGAATGACTGGAGACGCGTTCATTCAAACGGCACAAACACCTCGCATCAGTGGCGTCTACCCTGGTTCTCCAGGGTTCTCCAGGCTCCTCGGCTCAGATTTCTGATGACGTTAGAACGCTCCATTGGTTACCTTTAATAGCAGGAACAACTTTAAAAGACACCTGGGAACCTCCCCACCCGGCACTCATATTCTGAGCTTCAGGTGCTGCCAGGTGTGCTCCCGGCTCCGGTGAACGACCTGGTCCTGGCTCCTGATGGACAGCTGTTAGAAAGCTTGGTCATGCTAGGGACCAACACCTTCTGGTGGGGGGACGGGATGCTGAGCAGTATGAGGAGGTGGAGCCATGCTTTTGTGGATCTTCCACTCGCCACCGAGGCTCCTCAAGGTGAAAAGTCTCCCGTCCACTGGGGGGTGCTGCTGAGGCTTATGGGACATCCTTTGGGCCTAACCTAAACAAGTTCTACCTGCTAGTAAAGGTCACTAACCAGGTCTTGTAACAGACAACCAACCAAACCCTCATTTCTTTACTTTTGTTTATAAGTGGACCACCTTCTCAGATCAGTGGTAAAGTATTATAGGAAGAAGAAACTCACACACAGACTAAAGTGCCAAAGCCACGGATGCTGAGTCAGCACTCCGATGGCGTTATCAAGGAGTCGTTCCAGCAGCTAGCATCAGAGCCGAAGCAGCACGCTAACCTGGAATACGCGCTTTAGTGCCGAGGCTCACGTGATGTCTGAGCGTTTGAGCTGAAGGCAGTAAAATAAATCCGCATGTAGGAGGAGCCAGGCTGGGCCTCAGGATCGGATCCATGAAGCAGAATATCAGAATGACTGCTGCTCCGGGTCCGGGAGGACTGACCTAAAGACAAGAATAAGAGTGAAAACCAACATTTTCTATTCAAACAATCCGTTTTATTCCTAAAACATCAGGTGATTATCTGGGTTTTCTTGTTCACAACTAGTTACTCATTTGATTGGATCGGACATGTTAATTATTCAGTCATTAATGTTTTCATTAAACAGGAAGTCAGAAAGATGACGGAGTTTGAACACGACTGACAGAAGCGTCACCTTCACCGACGACGTCACTGATCCTCACAGCTGGCAGCAGGAAAAGCTTCTGGGTCCTGGTTCTGAAACATGTACTGTCAACAAAACCAGGTGTTACTGTCAGCAGCAACCAAGCCAACATTCCCAACACAAACTGAGCTTTTAAAGCCAGAAAATTCTATTCAAGTTCATTTCTAAAACGCCTAATCAGGACCAGTCGTCGTCTCAAGGACCTTCACACAGTAAACATTCCAGTACAGGTCAGGTCATCAAGCCAATCAGTGAAAAGTTTCCTATATAAGGAACCCAGCAGGTTGCATCGAGTCACTGACTAGTGTCAGAGTCTTTACAGCAGTCCTCATACTAAGCAAGCATGCAGCGACAGTGGAGAGGAAAACTCCCTTTTAACAGGAAGAAACCTCCAGAGAATCCTGGCTCAGTATAAGCAACCATCCTCCATGACTCACTGGGGATGGAGAAGACAGAGCACGCACACACACACACACACAAACATATATATGTACACACATACACGCACACACACGCATATATATATATAAATATATACACACATACGCACACACACACATACAACATATATACCAAGTAGTGTTTCTATGGTTACATTGTGATTTCTTAGAAAATAATTCTATTTGGTGAGGGATAAACTTTATTGTATTTATCCTAGTGGATCTATGATTAAATGGTTAAACTAGTAGTAGCACATTCAATGTCAGAGAGAGTAAAATGTTATTATCAGGAGAGGGAGAATGTGTAAGTGGTTAGCAGCAGTGCGCTAGACGATGGCCCCCTCCATGAGGCCACCACAGCTCAGCAGAACATCATTGTAGCTTCTTCCAGGGAGAAAAGCTGAAATATTTGTCTGCTAAAGGCTAAAGTGTGACATCCCCATCCCGACCTCGAACAGCGGTTAGGTACCACCCTGATCTGGATGCAGCATGTTGCTGGTGTGTGTGAAGGTGATGAATGACTAGGAACAAAGCTACCAACATGGTGGAACTAAAGCAGGAGATCCTGTGGTTTGAGGTGAAAGCTTCAGACTCACTGATTTTAGGTTGGACTCCATCTCTGAGAAGGTCCACTCGTTCAGAGGAAGGTTCAGGCTGAATGGCTGCAGAGAAACAAGAGATTTAGGTTTTCCATGAGATGTTGAACCACGGTTGGTAAAAGATGATCTGACAGAACGGCTCCAGATGAGTGTCAACACAGGAAGGAAGCACATCTGCAACAACCTCACAGATGCAGCTGGTGCTGCCCGCCTGGGAGGGGTCAAAGGTCATTTCTAAAGGACCCCAGACAAAAATTCAAGAGTGGAGAACATTCACACAGTTGTGGGCATCTCAGTGGGTTTAGGATGAGGTCAGAGGTCAACGCCCCATCTCAGACTCGGTTAAAAGGTCAAAAGTCACAGAAGCTGACCTCCGGTTAGTAAAACGTCATCTGTATAAATGAAAAACCATCAGAGTGACGAAACAAGAGCAGAGATGTTTACCCAGAATGCACTGCAGCACCAACAGCTGAGCTCAGCTGTCAGCACGGTGGTGGAGGGCTGATGGTTTGGCCCGGCTCTGACCCAACAGGAACTCCTCTAGATACTAAAGTCTTCTAAATACTCAAGCTTGGACTGAACTGGGTCATAAAACAGAACTGGGATTCAAACTGCTGCAGACCTACAACAGAACCAACATGCTGCAGAGGTCCAGTCAGACTCCAGACCAGAACCCGACTGAAACATCAAGGTGGGACCTTCAGGCAGCTGAGCAGAGATGAAAGTCTGTAAACCTCAAGGTAAATGGACCAGAACTCCTCCAGAACCACGAGAGAAACTGATGAGGTCAGAGCTGTGAGGTCACACTGATGAGACCAGACCTGTGAGGTCACACTGATGGGACAAGACCTGTGAGGTCAAACCTGTGAGGTCACACTGATGAGGTCAGACCTGTGAGGTCAAACCTGTGAGGTCACACTGATGAGGTCAGACCTGTGAGGTCACACTGATGGGACCAGACCTGTGAGGTCAGACCTGTGAGGTAACACTGATGAGGTCAGACCTGTGAGGTCACACTGATGGGACCAGACCTGTGAGGTCACACTGATGAGGTCAGACCTGTGAGGTCACACTGATGGGACAAGACCTGTGAGGTCAGACCTGTGAGGTCACACTGATGAGGTCAGACCTGTGAGGTCACACTGATGGGACCAGACCTGTGAGGTCAGACCTGTGAGGTAACACTGATGAGGTCAGACCTGTGAGGTCACACTGATGGGACCAGACCTGTGAGGTCACACTGATGAGGTCAGACCTGTGAGGTCACACTGATGGGACAAGACCTGTGAGGTCAAACCTGTGAGGTAACACTGATGAGGTCAGACCTGTGAGGTCACACTGATGGGACCAGACCTGTGAGGTCACACTGATGGGACCAGACCTGTGAGGTCAGACCTGTGAGGTAACACTGATGAGGTCAGACCTGTGAGGTCACACTGATGGGACCAGACCTGTGAGGTCACACTGATGAGGTCAGACCTGTGAGGTCACACTGATGGGACAAGACCTGTGAGGTCAGACCAGTGAGGTCACACTGATGGGACCAGACCTGTGAGGTCACACTGATGGGACAAGACCTGTGAGGTCAAACCTGTGAGGTAACACTGATGAGGTCAGACCTGTGAGGTCACACTGATGGGACCAGACCTGTGAGGTCACACTGATGAGGTCAGACCTGTGAGGTCACACTGATGGGACCAGACCTGTGAGGTCACACTGATGGGACCAGACCTGTGAGGTCACACTGATGGGACCAGACCTGTGAGGTCACACTGATGGGACCAGACCTGTGAGGTCACACTGATGAGGTCAGACCTGTGAGGTCACACTGATGGGACCAGACCTGTGAGGTCACACTGATGAGGTCAGACCTGTGAGGTCTGGATAGATGTTTAATTCTGGACAAATGAACATAAACTTTTTTTGGATGAATGACAACGTCCTCTTACATCCATAGCGGTGCTGGCTCCAGTCTCCATGGCGCTCTGCTGGTGGCTCCTGATCAGAAGTTGCTGCAGCTCCTCCAGACTCATGTCCACGTTCTCCACTGCCTCAGAAACGTCCACTCTGAACACACACACACACACACACACACACACACACACACACACACACACACACACACACACACACACACACACACACACACACACACACACACACGGCCATATCATTAAGTTATGGCTCCACCCCTTTTACTGTCAGCTGTCATGTTTTTTGTGACCACAGTACGAGTTCTCGCTCTTAAGGCCCCGCCCACTCACCTGCAGGCATGGGCATTTTTAGCCCATTTTTGGGGGTGCTGAAGCTCCCCTAAAATTTGAGAATTTGACATGTTTATTTTGACTCTGTTGTCAAACATAAAAAGCATAGAATGCTTGCTGTAGTTACATGAGACCCGATTACCGCGCTGACAGTTTTCATGTTTACATGTCTGTGAGGAGGAAGCAGTGGCACAAGTCCAGCATTAGCTCTGACCTTTTCAGAGGTTATAGTCAGTGATTTAGTCAGATCCTCCCCAAATAAATAAATGAGACTTGTTATTTTTTAAAAACATCATTTAGTTTCTATTTGGTTTTAAAACATTTTGCTAATAAAGTATGGACATTGTTTTCAACGAGATGTTGATCTGAGTAAAAACACTCAAACTCCCTTCCCTGAGGACCAGTATCCAGGATGTTTTTGTTGTTTCCCTAATCCAACACACGACTGACCTGTTCAGCAGCTCATCAAGCTCTGCAGAGGCCTGCTGATTGAAATCAGGTGTGTTGAAGTAGGGAAAACACTAAAACATGCTGGCCTTCAGGACGGCATTGGGGATCACTGTAGAGCCCTGCACGGGCCTAAAATCTGAGCCTGTGTCCGGCCCGGCCCGAGGGGGTGGAGCCCCAGCCCGACCCGGTCCGAAAAGGTTTTCAGGATTCTCTGGCCCGACCCGAGCCCGACCTTTTTTTAACCTTTCATAATGTTTTAGCGTGATAGAATGCTCAGCATTCTAATTATCTGTGAGAAGCGTTCTGCAGTAAAACAATAAATAAAAAAACAGAAAGAAAAACCGCATCAATGCAGCTTTTTTTTCCTAACAGAGCATATTTTTCGAGCGGCAGATGAAATTTACGAACACTATATTAATTGGATGCAGTTGTAAATTTAATCTGCTCTGAAAATGCGCTCCTGTGCATTTAGAAAAAAAAAGCAGCATTCTAATTTTTTAACTGTAGAGCGGCAGATTCAATAAACACCCCCAATTATTATAGCGTTTGTAAATTTCATCTGCCGCTCTGAAAATGCGCTCTCCTTAGAAAAAACACCCCAGCAATGAATGCTGTATTTTTTTTTAACTGCTGAGCGGATTTATTCACAGAATGCTGCCGTTTTCATGAGAATGAACAAATGTTTTCTAACAGATCAAAGTGGACATAAAATGGCATATTAGAACAGGGGCACATGTTTCAATCAGCAGTTTGAGAATTCGTCTATATAGGCGCATTTATAAACCACACACACCTTAACTGAGCTAACTGGTGCCAGTGCGTGAGAAGCAGGCAGGTGCTGCTGCGTTCAAGTGTTTCAGTTTTTTTTTTTATGAATCTAATTAAAAATAAAGGCGCCCAGCCCGGCCCGTGTCCGAGGTAATTACACAGTCGTTGGCCTCGGGCCGGGCTTCGGGCCTAGGGCTTCAGTGCAGGGCTCTAGATCACTGACCTAGAGGCTTTGAAGCTGGACTAGATTATTGGAAAAGCAGAATCTGTAAAGCACTGCTTGTGATTTGTGGAAGAGTGTTTTGCTTTCATTTTACAAATGTGGCAGTGAAATTGTGAGAAAGTGCACAAAACTGTGAGCTTGATCTTGCCTGGACGGGCAGCTCTCGGGGTGCTCAGCACCTCTAAACCTCTGCCGCCTGCAGACCAGCTGATACGTTTGTCTGGTTCCAGCTAGACCAATCAGAAATGTGAGCGTCTGGACCAGCAGCACCGGGTGAGAGCGCGGCTCAGCCGCAACCCACACCACAACAATTATTTGAGGCGTTTTTTTCTTCATTGGTTTACAATAAAGGGGCGGGGCTTAAAATAGGTAACAAAACCACTTAGGCCCAGTCCCAATACTCACACTGTGCCCTACGGTCTCCAGTGTAGTGCACTTGAAGGAGGTGCACTGTAAGGCTTCGAGTGCGTAGTACACAAGTGTGCTGACTTGGCAGAGTGAGCACTGCATCATCAACTGCGACGCATGTCTGAATGCTGGTCACTTTGTGCTATTTCAAAAAAATCTTTATTAACAACTTTCAAACAATGTTTAATTTAGATCCATTGCTGTTCACAATAAATCTTAGTCCACATCAATGCAGACTTGGGGATCAAGGGTGCAAAATGGGCGTGGTCAATCTCTGCACCTGAGGATCGGGACAACCTACACTCACACCGCTGGACTGGAACGCGCAATTGAAGGGCGTAAGAGTGGAAGTACAAGTTTTGGGATTGGGCCTCAGTAGCGGCCTGGACCTCTCAAATTCTGCTCCTGGTCTAGATTGGATTCACCTGTAAACACTCACCTGTCAAGGGCAGGTCTCTTACTCCTCTTTTCCATCATGGAAGCTGCAGAGCCCCTCCCTTCCAGAACCGACTGCACCATGGCGACAGGGAGGACAGGAGGCTCTGAGGAGCACACCTCACAGGTGGAGGTCACAGCCACGCCCTCTCCTCCGCCCACACCACCTCCTTTACCTAGGACACCTGGACTCACGGGCTCCTCCTTGATTAGCATCATGCACTTCTCCCTGTCCAGGTGGGTCCAGAGACTGTCATTACACCAGAACCTGGAAGGGAAAGGTCCTGAAGCTGTTTCGGCTCCGCTCACCTGTTCTCATCTGGCTGCATCTGAATGGTTAGGGCAGCCTGAGACATGTCAGTAACATCTGATATGATTGGTCCTCCTGTCAGCCCACTGGAGGAGCAGGAAGCCGCATCACCGGGTGGCTGGGGGGTGGGGGGAAAGCACAGGCATTAGAAGATGAGTTACCTATAAAAACTATAAACCAGTAGAAAGTCTCCTCAGAACACCCGGTCTGGTCACATGTGGAAACAAAGGGTCACCAGAACCCTTTTCAGATAGACATTCTGGAATATGTGTGGACAATTCAGTCCGGTTTTTAACCAGAACTGTGTTTTCAGACACAACACTTTTGTACCTGAACTTGTCCTTTCGGCTGCCTTCACACAGCAGGGAAAAGTTCCAGATGTCCGAGGGGGAGGGGTGGGAAGGCTGTACCCGGATAGTGCGGCGGGCGTACATGCGTCATTTACCCAAACAAAGCCATTCAGTCAAACATGGCCGACGAAGAGATAGAATTCCTCTCACTGATCGGACTTATGTTAAGCGTAATTCTGCGCACACGAAGACGCATAAGAGACCTGGATGATGAAGCTCAATGGTTAATAAAGGAATCACGGAAGCGGTGTGAAGCGCTCCGTCGCGCGTCTACGAGACGGTACCGTAGGAGGCGAGCTGCTGTGGTTCGCCGCATGCTACAGGAGCGAGCTATCTAGGTGCGCACAGCGTCCCCGGGTCCCCTCCTCCCTGTCCGGAACTCGACCTCACCAGTCTGAAGCAGCCACCTTGTCCGTAACAAGTCCGGACCTGTTACTAGGGGCTTCGTCCGGTTTAATTATGGAAAAGGTTATCCGGATGTTTGTATTCAGACACAAAGGTCTTACGGACAGAGTCTGGAACATTTCCATTTTTCATGGCCTGTCTGAAGGGGGCTCAGGTGTCCCACACTCTGGTACATACTCAGAAGCCACGCCCTGAAACGGGTTCACCGGTACGTGGTTTTTATCCAACAATAGGCCTTTTCCGACGGTACTACTCAGCGTGACTCGGGAGGGTTCGGTTCGGTCTTCCAGCAGCACGGTTCTGTTTTGACCCGCTACTTTTCAGTCCCTGCTCCGTTGTGGGTCCTACAGCGCTGACCTGGGCCGGTCACTGGTTGCTTGCTGCCTGCAGAAGTTCAGAGTCTGACCAAAGCCATAAAAGTGAGCAGCACCACCACCATGTTGCTTCTGTGGAGCTTACAGATGGCCTCACACGGTTTAGTGACGTACCCACTTCCTGTCCCGGGGCTGGCAGGAAAACCAGCGGAGGTAACCCACGCTGTACTCAGCTGCTTTAGGCGGAGTAGTGCTGCCGGTAAAGGCCTATACGTGGAGAACGCAGGTCCACCTGTTTATGGCTTCTTTAGCTCCGCCCACTCAGTCATGAATAAACATTTCTGTTACAATGAAGAGGAGGAGATGGTGCTAACTGGGAAACACGGAGGAGACGAGCCAGAACCCAGAGGAGTCAGGTGGAACGTCGAAGGTAAGAGTGTGGTATTATGGGATGTAGCTGGTTTGGTGCTCAGCTGTATTATTTAAATAATGAAACATGAAATGAGTTTGTGCTGTCTGCTGCCCTCTAGTGCCTGACATCAGAGGCTTTTCAGTCCAGGTTATATTCCCCCTCCCCAGCGTGGTCGCACAGTCAGACTGTAGGCGGCTGCTGGCATCGCTCGTATGGAGGTCAGCAGGTCACTGCCTCGGTAATTAGAGTTTCCAGCTAAATGTGTCATTGAGAAAAGTCGACCTGCGAGTAAAGAGGAAGTGATTCTGGTGCCGAGCGACTCACCGAGTGGATGTAGAAGGGCTCGGGTACCGCCTCCATCTGATGACTGTGGCTGAACTTAGAGGCTGGCGGGCTGAGAGACCCGTCATCCAGCATCAGAGGCCTGAAGGCACCAAAGAGTCGAGCAGGTTAAACTCAAATCATCTTCTACTTCCTGTTAACCAGCTGAAACAGCCGGTGTGTTTCAAATCACCAGGTGAACGTGTGTGTGTGTGTGTGTGTGTGTGTGTGTGTGTGTGTGTGTGTGTGTGTGTGTGTGTGTGTGTGTGTGTGTGTGTTTGAAGCTGCAGAAGTCGTTCTCCTGACCAGGAAACACACCTTTGTGCTGTTGATTGCTCCTCTCACAGCAGCCGTTTTTACTTTCAGCAGCAAAGCTGATCCAGCATTTTACACACGTGTGTGTGTGTGTGTGTGTGTGTGTGTGTGTGTGTGTGTGTGTGTGTGTGTGTGTGTGTGTGTGTGTGTGTGTGTGTGTGTGTGTGTGTGCACCTGACTGACTGATTCAGCACTTGCCTCCATTCAAACACTCGCTGGGATTGTTTAGCTCGTCAGCTGATACCCCCCCCCCCCCCCCCGGCCCTTTGTGTGTGTGAGAGAGAGAGAGAGAGAGAGAGAGAGAGAGAGAGAGAGAGAGAGAGAGAGAGAGAGAGAGAGAGAGAGAGAGAGAGAGAGAACTCACAGTTTCCTCTTCAGGCTCATGGTGTTGGGGGTGTTGGGCTGCATTTGGCTGAACAGGAACTGGATCAGCTGTTGGGGGGGGTAGAGCTCAGCATGAATCAGCATCATCACATCATCTCACATGATCTAAACGTTCTGAACGAGGGACAGTCTCCAGCTGACAAAAGTGAAGCCAACATGAAAGTGAAATAAGCTGCAGGTTCCCCCTCCTCCACTAGGGCAGTGGTCCTCAGGAAGACCTGCTCTGCTGCCACTATCAGGCTTCTGCAGCACTTGATGTCTTCCTGAAGAGGCAATGCACTAATGTGACTCGGGTGTGCTGAAGCAGAGACATGAAAAACATGCAGGACATCGGGTCCTGGCTCCTGAAAGAAGCGAGTTCCTATTGACTCCCATGTTAAAAATACCAGCTTCAAAAAAAACATTTTAGCTCTAATAGATGCAGTTAACAGTCGTGGCAACTCTGGGGGTTAAATTGTTTTGTAATTCTTTGCTTTGGTGCAATTAAAGGCTTTCTTTCAACTGCCTGTGGTGCATGCCTTTATCACCTCTCGCCTGGACTATGCACACTCGCATTCAGTCGGGACTCCTGCTGCTGTCCTGAACCGGTTGCAGATTGTGCAGAAGGCAGATTGTTGACAAGCACAGGCAGATGTAGCCGTGATTTCTACTTCCTGGTGAAACAGCTGATCTCTAGCGTGGATCCATTTACAATAACATTACGATAAATGAAAGAAAACAAGAACCAAACCTGTATGTTTTTACCTGAAAGGGTCAGAGGTCACACCAACACTTATAACTACAGCTGATATCTGAACAACTGCTGAAGGAAACTGGATCTCATCAGAACCGGACCGAACCAACGGTGAGCTGCACGTTCTGATGGATCTAACAGAACCTCGTTCAGGTGTTTCTGGACTCACCTTGTTCATGACCTTCTGTTGCTGCGTGTGGTTCTGCCTCAGTGAGACCACCTCCCTCCAGAGGACCTCATTCTGCCTGCAAACAGCAGGAGAACATCTGTAACAGGATGTATTACAGAGGTGAGCCTTCCTCGTGTCACGGTCAGAAGAGTCACCACCCGTACAGCTCAGCATGTCTGCCTCCTCTGGCTGCAGAGAAACAGGCCCAGCTGGTCGGGTTCTGGTGACACCATCAGGCTAACATCTGTGGAGGAGATCCTGGAACCTCCTACTACTGCTTTACATGTTCTGAAGAACGAATCAAACACACAGCAGGAAGCTGAAGTTCTGCTCAAGTCGATGAAATAAAACAAACTTCAGACTCTGATGGGTTTTACGCCCGACAAGAACACTTCCTGTGAGTGTGTGTACATCTGTGTGTGTGTGTGTGTGTGTGTGTGTGTGTGAATGTGTGTGTATGTCTGTGTGTGTGTGTGCATCTGTGTGTGTGTGTGTGTGTGTGTGTACGTCTGTGTGTGTGTGTGCGCGTCTGTGTGTGTGTGCGGGTGCGTCTGTGTGTGTGTGTGTGTATGTCTGTATGTGTGTATGTTTTTGTGTGTGTGTGTGTGTGTGCGTCTGTGTACGTCTGTGTGTGTGTGTGTGCGGGTGCGTCTGTGTGTGTGTGTGTGTGTATGTGTGTGTGTGTGTGTGTGTGTGTGTGCGTCTGTGTACGTCTGTGTGTGTGTGTGTGCGGGTGCGTCTGTGTGTGTGTGTGTGTGTGTGTGTGTGTGTGTGTGTGTGCGCGTCTGTGTGTGTGTGTGTGCGTCTCTGTGTGTGTGTGTGTGTGTGTGCGCATCTCTGTGTGTGTGTACATCTGTGTGTGTGTACGCCTGTGTGTGTGTGTGTGTGTGCGGGTGCGTGTGTGTTCTTGTACATACTACATACTGAGGACCATTTTGACCATTTTCCCTACAAAGTGAGGACATTTTTTGGTCCTCACTTTTTTTTAGAAGCTTACCATACCAGTTAAGAGTTATGGTGTGAATTACGTTTTAGTTAAGGTTAAGGTTAGGAATAGATCAGCGATGGTTAGGGTTAGGGTTGGGGTATGGCTTAGGCATGGTGAAATCATGAAATGAATGGAAGTCAATGGAGGGTCCTCACTATGAGAGAAAGACAGACGTGTGTGTGTGTGTACGTGTGTGTGTGTGTGTGTTTGCGTGCGTGCGCAGGTGTGTGTGTGTGTGTGTGTGTGTGTCAGCTGACCAGGTGAACATTCTCTCCCAACCCTGACAAACAAAGGGAGCACAAAGAAGCTGCATCACAATAGGAACACAGCAGCTATTTTTAGTAGCGTGAACGTTTCTCCATCCTCTGAGTGACTCGTTCCAACTGAACCAGAAGATCAGCAGATGTATGAAAATACCTTTTGATGTGAAACCCTATCCCTCAGACACTCTTTACACTCACTGCTTCATGTCCTGCATCTGACACTCCATGTTTTCCTGCTGAGTCCTGAGGAGCTGGACTTCATACAGCAGCTTGCTGAGGTCCTCCTGTCGGACTTTGGTTTCCTCGCTCTTCACTATGGACACCTGGGTGGAGGAGAACCTGGTTTAGTGAAGAACTTTAAGATAAAAACAAACTCATACACAGTAAAATAGTCTCCAGAAGATGTCACAAACTCATTTCAAACTTCTACAACGTTCATCCAACGTGGTTCATCTCCATGTTCCCACATGGATGCACGGTGAGATGTAGCATTTAACTTTCTGTTTTTGGGGAAAAACCATAAAATGTCTACAGAGAAGAGTTACAGAACAGCATCGGGTCAGAGCTCAGATTTCATGTTTGGAGTTAAAATACGTCACTGATAAAAAAAACTCTTTCATAAACGTTAATGGTAATGCTAATGCTGATGTAATGCTTTTGTGATGCTAATGCTAATGTTGATGTGAAGCTAATGCTTATGCGATGCTAGGGCTGCACAGTAGTGCAGTGGTTAGCGCTGCCTTGCAGCAAGAAGGTCCCGTGTTCAAATCCCGGCCTTCTGCATGGAGTTTCCATGTTCTCCCTGTGCATGCGTGGGTTCTCTCCAGGTACTCCGGCTTCCTCCCACTGTCCAATCCACTCCACTGTCTTTCAAACTGGCTTCTGTGATTCTTCAGCCATAATCTTTAGCAGCTTCACATTGGAAATCATTCTGAAGCGCTCTGCTGAACAGAAACCACACTTAACAGTTTAGTGGCGTGTGTAGGTGCACTAGTGGCAGGTGGAGAACCCTAGAAGGCACCATTAAATACAGGTCATTCACCATTTGTTGGAGGGAAGCTAAAGGAGGGTATGGAATAGTGGACTGATGGTGACCAGGCTTTGTTGCTGCTGAACTTGCAAGTGGTAATATTTTTGTCCAACAGTAGCGTTGGATAGTTGTTGGTGCTAGCTGCAGCAGCCTGTGGATGGGCCTAATTTCTACTTCTCTGTCTGTGTCGGTACGGAGACACGACGCCACTGTGTGGGCTCGCAGAGGCTGACAAGAGACATGCCCAACTTCTTAGCTATCCATCAAAAGTGACGGAGACCGCAAGCTTGTGATTGGTCAGTGTGTATGTGTGTGTGTGTGTTTAATCTGCAAAACACTTTAAGTTGCATTTTTTTTTGTAGGAAAAGCACTTTATAAATAAAGTTTGATTGATTCTGTTCTCGTCATGGATTGTCCAAAATGAACACCATGTTGTGTCACTGAGGTGGTCAAAAAGCTCCTCGAAGGTAAGGTTCCAGGGGTGGATGAGATTCGCCCAGAGTTCCTTCAGGCCCTGGGTGTTGTAGGGTTGCGTTGGGTGACGCGGCTATGCGTGATCGCGTGGACATCGGGGGCAGATCCACTGGATTGGCAGATCAAGGTGGTGGTCCCCCTAATTAAAAAGGGTGGTCTGCGGGATGTGTTCCAACTACAGGGGGATCACACTCCTGAGCCTCCCTGGTAAGGTCTATTCAGGGGTTCTGACGAGGAGGGTACGGCGGATTGTCGAACCTCAGATTCAGGAGGAAAAACGTGGTTTGCCGCTGGCTGTGGAACGCTGGACCAGCTTTTTACGTCAGGATGTTTGACCAAATGGGCCCATGCGTTGTAGATTTTATTAATTTATCCCTACAATCTGGTTCTGTACCATCTGTTTTCAAACATGCAGTTATTGAACCCATCCTTTAAAACCCAAGCTTGGACTCATCTCAGCTTAAAAAGTACAGACCCATTTCTAAATGACCATTTATCTCTAAAAGATTGGAAAAGGTTGTGGCAGATCAACTGATTACTTTTCTGGAACTACACAACAGTTTTGGTAAATTTCAATCTGGTTTTGGTAAAAAGCTTTCAACAGAAACAGCTTTGCTTAAAGTTTCCAGTTTAAAGTGGCTGCAGACAACGGGGAATTCACAGTGTTAGTATTGTTAGATCTTTCTGCAGCTTTTGACACTGTTGATCACAGCACCTTCATAACAGACTTGGTGACTCGGTGGGGATCTCTGGAACTGTTCTAGACTGATTTAGATTGTACTTTTCTAACAGAAGTTACAGTGTCTGTAGAAACCAAATCATGTCAGATTCTACCCATCTGTTCTGTGGGGTACCCCAAGGCTCTGTTTTGGGTCCACTATTGTTTCTGCTGTATATACACCCTCTTGGATAGATACTTGATTCTTTTCATAATGTCTCTTATCACCTATATGCAGATGACATTCAGCTGTACTGCTCCTTTAAGGATTCTGAGTTCTATAAACTGTCTGAATTGCTAGAGTGTCTATCAGCGATCACCAGCTGGCTAGAAGAAAACTTCTTTCAGTTAAACTCTGAAAAGACTGAAAGTCTGATCATTGCCCCTGAGAGCACGGTTCCCCTGATTAGTCTAAAGTTTGGTCATTTATCTTCTGCAGTCAAGACAAACGTAAGGAATTTGGATTGCATTGTAACTTTCAGGGCTCTACATGGTCAAGCTCCTCTTTATATTACTGAACTGTTAAAGCCTCATGCTCCAACCCGAGACCTCAGGTCCACCCACCAGAACCTTCCAGAAGTTCCAAAGACCAGATATAAAAGTTGAGGTGATCGCTCCTTCCAGACTGTTGCACCCCGACTTTGGAATTATCTGCCTTTATCCTGGAGGGTACGTTGGAGTTCGCCCAACCAATCTACATGTGTTTTGTGGATTTGGGGGAGGAGTTTGACCACACCCCTCGGGGGCCCTGTGGGGGGGTACTCTGGGGGTACTGCGGGTGTCGTACCGGTCTGTCGTGGTGAAGAGAAAGCTGAGCCAGAAGGCAAAGCTCTCGATTTACCGATCGATCTACGTTCCTACCCTCACCTATGGTCACGAGCTTTGGGTAGTGACCGAAAGAACAAGATCACGGATACAAGTGGCTGAAATGAGTTTTCTCTGCAAGGTGGCTGGGCTCTCCCTTAGAGATAGGGTGAAGCTCAGTCTGGTTAGGAGTCCTCCTGGTCGCCTCCCTGGTGAGGCTTTCCGGGCATGTCCAACCAGGAGGAGACCTAAAGGAAGACCCAGGACAAGTTGGAGAGACTATGTCTCACGGCTGGCTGGGGAACGCCTTAGGATTCCCTCGGAGGAGCTGGAGAGAGGAAAGTCTGGGCCTCCCTGCTTAAGCAACAGCCCCCGTGACCCAATGAGAGGCAAGTGGCCAAAAATGGATGGATGAATGAGTTTCCCTCCTTGAGAACATCGGTGGAGACGTACTGACCTTTCTCTTGATGTGCTCCAGCATGTGCTCATGTCCCTGGAGAAAGTAGAGGTGCTGGAACTCTGTATCGTCCCTTTCAGGTTTCACCAGTCCGCTCTGCTCAATATTCACCACCTTACGAAACCCGTCTGCGAAGCAAAAGAGAAGAACGGATGAATCCAGGTAGAGGGAGGAGGAGAGGAGGAGGAGGACGAGGAATACTCACACATATTGAGCTGTCGGACAAAGCTCGCCATGTTGTTGTGTTTGAAGTATTTGGGTAGAACCTCTTTGGCGAAGCGTCCCTGGTCAAAGACGTGAAAACTGGTCCCAGTCTGAAGGAGACAACTGGTTTAAAGCTTCTGGAGAACCACTGAGTGGACGGGTTGTGGGATTTTACTGATGTGTCATCAACGATGTGTCATCAACCTGCTTCTTTAGTCAGACTTTTACGCCTTCGAACCAAAAATCGGAATAAAGAGGAAATGATTGCTCTTCTTGTGTCTGCTAAGAACCATTTTTATGTATTTTATAATATCTGGAGAACGTCTAGAACCCAAACTTGGTTCATGACGACCCACCATGGGTCCCAATCCGGCCTTTGGGAACCAAAGTTAGATTTTAAAGGCAAGGTAATAGAGGCCAGGGTTAGACCTGTTAACCATTTTATATGCTCTAAAAAACGCTGAGTCATTTCTGAACCCAAACTGGGTTTTTTTTATTAAATCCTGAGTGAAAACGGGAAAATAAATTAAACTAGTATTTTTTACATTTGTTTCACTAAGTCCATGATTCTATATTACTAGTGAAGGAATTTCAGGTTTTTCTGCACCTAAAAATTATTTGAACTGAATTAAATGCCGAATTTGACCTTAAAAGGGTAATTATAATTCAGATATCTCTGCTGTAAACCTTTGCAGCTGGATAGACGTGTGTACTTTATAACAACATTTGGTTTGAACCTCTGAACAGGGCCAAACCGACAACCTGAGCTGGTGACCAGTAACCAAATTAACCCTAAATGGTTGCTTTTACCAGTCGGGTTTTAGAATGTAGCTCGGAGCTGATTCCTACTAGACCTGCAGGCGTTACGGAGGTTCTGGACCAACAACGGCCCCGAAGGTCTGAAGGCCAGTGGAAAAAAGGGGGGGATGTCTGATCTGTTCATCTGTTCTTTGAATCTGAATGTTAAGGCAGGGTATCTGCAGGTTTAAGGGAGCCAAATTTAAGACTTTTTAAGACCTTTTTTAAGGCCATTTTGACCAAATTTAAGCAATTTTTGAAAATTAAATTTAAGCAATAATTTCCAGCTATTGCCTGGAGCCGGTGCTAACCACGTCGCCAACGTGGAATTAGCCATCCAGTTACCATTAAACTTGCACTTCCCCATGGCGCAAGCTCCCACTAGCTTAACCAGCTAATGTGCTCATCTAAAAATAGCCCCCTTACACAACCAACTGAATGTGTATTGTTCCGCTTACGCCAACATCGTACACAAAAAATGCTGAATACTAACTAGAAATTTATGAAAATTTTATAGAAATAAAAGAATCTTGTTTATTGGGTCTTTGGACATTTAACACCTTTGGAAACCGTATTTAAGGATTATTTGTCATTTTTAAGGATTTTTAAGGCCTTAAATTTGGAAAAGCTAATTTAAGACTTTTTAAGGACCCGCGGATACCTGTAAGAGTTTATCATCAGATTTTCTTCATTTTTAGTGTTTTTTAAGGTGGTAATTTAACCCATAAGAAAACTGATTTGTTGGCTAATGTGAACCTAATCACGTTTTAAATAAGTTATAATAATAATAAACATGTCTTTTTGTCCTGGAAGCCCCGTGTGGTGTTCTAAAGCTGTGGTTTCCAACTCTTCTTTCCACGAGGACCCTCATTAGTGTACAAGACAAACCAGGACAACACACACACACACACACACTCTTATACAGCTTGGATTATGTTGTAGGTGTGTTAGCGAGATTTTACACACGTCCTTATTACAAATATCTCCTTGGTGACCACACAACCTCAGCACAAACAAAACTGTGGAGCCCCCGTTGGGGGTGACGGGCCCCCAGGTTGAGAACACTCTAAATCAGGACCTGAACGGACTCTGGAGTTTGTGAGGATGTGGAGAGGACTCACGGCGCTCCAGCAGATCAGATGGTTGGTTTCTGGATCCTCCACTAGGGTCCACAGCTTGGTGAGAAAGGCGGGAACGTTGCTGGCGTAACCGCCATCCACACCAACGGCTCCTGGAGACTCCTGCATGTTGACACCTCGTCCAATTTCTAAAGTGTGAGTGTGTGCTCCCAGACTAGTCCATGCTCCTGTACATCCAATGAGAATCCCAGGTTTGTCTCTTTGGTTCCATCTCAATCCAAACTGTCTCTGTACGTCCTCACATTGGTGGCCAGTGTCCCTACAGCAGCTGTCCTTTCCCTGTCCTCACCGTTCAACTGAATGTGCGCACACAAGATCCATGTCAGCACACACAGCCCCCCGGCCTCACAAACAATAACAGTCCTCCCAGTGGAACAAACCCATCCATGCATACAAAGGGTCCAACACAGCAGCCTGTCCTCCAGCTGAGATCTGCTGGACACACAGAACCCAGTGGCTCTGGTTCTGATTTAGTCGGTCCTAGAAGAACCTGAAATCCATTTAATCCTGAAAAAACTAAAAAATAATCCATCTTTAATTCTTTATTAATCCTTGCCTAGCATGGGGACTGCTGTAAAGGCTGACAGGAGTCAGCGACTCGATGCAAGCTGCTGGGTTCCTCACAGGAAACTCAGCTGGAGTGTTTTACTTTGTGACGTGGCTTGAGACGACTCTGGTTGTGATTTAGAACCTTAGAAATAACCTGAATTGAGTGTTTTCATCAAACAAAGTCAGACAAACTTCCAGTTCTTAATTTACCTTTACATAAACGTGCTCCTACCTTCTACCACCACTAGATGGAGCCATTGTTTCCCTTTCAGACTGCTAAATATTTCTATCATCTATTATTTGATTACTTGGAAATAAAGTTTAAAACAGAGTGAAAAAAACATGTTTAATATAAACTTTTATAAATTTCATTGGAACAGAAAAAAAACTGAAATGAGTTTGGTTTGGTTCGCCACAAGGAACCGGACCAGGACCTCAGTAGGGAAGTCGTTTATTCTACAGACGTCCCCTCAGAACAGCTCCTGGTGGTTTGCGGTCACACCGACATGGTTCTGGTAGTGACCCGGTTCCAAAACCATAGATTCAGATCAGAACCACAGCTGATTTATGAAGGGATGTGATTGTAGAAGAAGAAACTATTTTTTAGATGGTGCCTCTCCAGATAAAAACAACAAGGTGCTTCACAAGAACCAAAAATTCAAACAAAGAATATATTTCATATTGTAATAAAAATGGGGAAAAGTTAAAATTTAGATTAAAAATATGAAGGAAGAATAAAGAAACGGTAATAACAGGATTTTAAGAAAGACAGAACTGACAGAAAGAGCAACAGGAGGAGAAGCGGGGTGATGTGGGTGTGTTTGGAGGACTTGGTGAGAAGCCGAGCACAGGTGTTCTGAACCACCCGTAGACGGTTCAGGGAGGTTCTGCTCAGACACGTGAAAAGAGGGTTACAGTAGTCTAAGCGTGAGGAGTTGAAGTCTCAAGTTCAGAGCGGGACAGAATTTGACTCAGCTTAGCAACGTTCCTGTTAGTTACTTTAACCAGATAACCAGAGCAGATCGTGTAAGACGTCTGGACCTGTCTCTTCGAGTTTCCGTCTTCTTCTCCATCACTCGGAAAATCAGGAACAGACACGGGGGGAAAAAAAGGATCCTGATCCAGTTTGTCCATCCTCTCAGGTTCCTCCTCCTCGGTCAACCTGCAGCCTGCTGGAGCCTTCTCAGAACGTCCTCTGGGCTAAGAGAGGAGCCCACTCTGATGAGCTTGTCTCTGGATCTGGAGCCCTGAAGAGACATGAGCCGTTAACCCTTTACAGACGGAAATACTAGTAATAAATATTTATCGGCAAAAAGTAACCCAACAGCTTTATGGTGTGATTCATGAAAACACTGTGTGTGTGTGTGTGTGTGTGTGTGTGTGTGTGTGTGTGTGTGTGTGTGTGTGTGTGTGTGTGTGTGTGTGTGTGTGTGTGTGTGTGTGTGTGTGTGTGTGTGAGAGAGAGAGAGAGAGAGAGAGAGATGGAGAGAGAACGAGAGGGAGGGAAAGAGTGAGAAAGTGAGAGAGAGAGAATGAGGGAGAGTGAGGGAGAGAGAGTGAATGAGAAAGAGAGAGAGAGAAAGAGTGAGGAAGAGAGACAGAAAGAGAGAGACAGGGAGAGGGATAGAGAGAGAGTGAGTGAGAGAGGGAAAGAGAGGGGGGAGAGAAAGAGTGAGGAAGAGAGAGTGAGTGAGGAAGAGAGACAGAAAGAGAGAGAGAGACAGGGAGAGGGATAGAGAGTGAGTGAGTGAGAGAGAGAGGGAGAGAGACAGAAAGAGAGAGAGAGACAGGGAGAGGGATAGAGAGAGAGTGAGTGAGAAAGGGAAAGAGAGGGGGGAGAGAAAGAGTGAGGAAGAGAGAGTGAGTGAGGAAGAGAGACAGAAAGAGAGAGAGACAGGGAGAGGAATAGAGAGTGAGTGAGAGAGAGAGAGAGAGAGAGAGAGCGAGAGAGAGAGAGAGGGAGAGAGAGAGACGAAAGAGAGAGAGAGACAGGGAGAGGGATAGAGGGAGTGTGAGTGAGAGAGGGAAAGAGAGGGGTGAGAGAAAGAGTGAGGAAGAGAGTGAGTGAGGAAGAGAGACAGAAAGAGAGAGAGAGACAGGGAGAGGGATAGAGAGTGAGTGAGAGAGAGAGAGGGAGAGAGACAGAAAGAGAGAGAGAGACAGGGAGAGGGATAGAGAGTGAGTGAGAGAGAGAGAGGGAGAGAGACAGAAAGAGAGAGAGAGACAGGGAGAGGGATAGAGAGTGAGTGAGAGAGGGAAAGAGAGGGGAGAGAGAGAGAGAGAGAGGGGAGAGAGAGAGAGAGAGAGAGAGAGAGAGAGAGAGAGAGAGAGAGAGAGAGAGAGAGAGAGAGAGAGAGAGAGAGAGAGAGAGAAGACCTAGCTCTTTCTGGCATGCTAGCTAGCTGTTTCCTGTAGCGGGGCACGGTCAGCCAGCGCCTCAGAGACAATAAATTCAAAGATGCTGACTGGCCAACATTTCTCCAGTTCTCCCTAGCAACCAAATATGAATGGCTGTTTAGCTGCAGCTCGGGGTGCTATTCCAGCACCCCAGGGGTGAAACCAATGAGTCTGGTGGAGCTAGACAGCTGGTGAAAATGATGAGAAAATATTCCAGATTGCATGTGGGTACACACACAATAAAATCTGACACATATATAGTAAATACATGTATAACATAGTTTTTGTACTTTCTGGATATTTTTCTCCCTTTATGTCAGAGAGGGCGGCACCCTAGCCGCCATTGTGTTTGAGCTTATCTGACCTTCACCATTTCCTGCTTTTAGAAGATTTGAGCTTCAGAAACCTTTTCAAGAGAAAGATGACTCTTCTTCAGACCCAGAACTTCTGCCAGGTACCGGATGAGTTCAGTGTTTGCTTCTCCGTCTGTAGGTGGTGCTGCAATAGAAACAGCCACCGTCTCCGTGGAAACGTCTGCAGGAGCAGAACAGAGCATAAGATGGGTCCAGTTCTTCCGTACAGCAGTCCACTTTGGAATGTTTGGGGTTGACCTGTGATGGCGCTATGTTTAGAACCGGGCTTTGCATGCACCGTTATGGTTACTCCTCCACTTTTGTCCCAGGTAACCGGACCACAACCTGGCACCTCAGCTGCTCCGCCTCCGGCTGCAGTCGGCTGAGCTTTCACCTGTTTCACAGCACAGAGAGACCTCAGGGTTGTGAGTGTGTGTGTGTGTGGAGGGGAGGTGTAGAAGTAAAAGATTACATGAAATAAGAACAAGTGAATAAGGGTTCTCCATCCATCCATTCTCCCCAGTTTATCAGAATCATTGTGAGGTATTAGCCAGCTGGGACCCCCTACCTGCATACTGTGTCCACCCATGGTGGGTCCTAAGGGTCCGCTCTCATCATGTGAAAGTTGGTCCTTTTAGCTCTGACTTTATTTTTTAGGTTCCTTCCATCTGAGTTAGATTTGCTTCGTTTTAGATGCAACTGTATTTAGGATCTTTTTGACAGCTCTCTAGAGCCTCGTGTCTCATACCTATCCTCGGGAACTAGCTAGTTTGCTAACTAGCTAACTAACTAGCAATCTGGTTTGCGAGACACAAGTCAAAGTTTCACCTCCGTCACAAACTAGTCAGCTGGACACTTTTGGTACCGAACATTCCCGGTGGATTTCAAGTTTGACTCACCGCCTTTTGCTTCCTGGGCATCGGTCCGGTTGTGGAAAACCACCGCGCACACCGGAAGTTAGCAGGAAGAACCGGGACCGGCACCGTTAGACGGTTTAATGCTACGGACTCAAACTGCTTGAAACCCGCAAAAACAGAAACACCGAACCGATAAAACATCTCCCGTTCTAAATGTGGTCGACAACATAACTGCTGCAGCAGGTAAAGGAACAGCGCCTCCTGGTGGACCGGAGCCGGAGCGCCATGGAGGACTGCCAATATAAAAGCTTTTAATTCAACACATGGACATACATACAGGGATTCAACAGGGAAATAAAGTGGGGTCCTGAGGGGCATGAACAGTTTAGTTTAGTTTAGTTAGGTTTAGTTTAGTTCAGTAGATAAATAATAAAAGGATTGTGTTTGATTTGGCACCTTCCAGGGTTCTATAGCATGGAAGCATGTTGTAGGTTTCATAAATAAAAGTACATAAAAATTCTCTCTCTCTCCCCCCCCCCCCTTTTTTTTTCTTTCACATATCACACACTGCATACAGGGTCATATGTCAGAGTGACCTGTGGTCCTAATCTGGGTCTACCATGCAGAGACAGGGACCACCTGATAATCAGGAGGTTGGTGGTTTGATCCCGGCTTCCCCACCATATGTCCTTGTTCATTTAAAGTATAATTGAAACAAATAAACTCCTGTTTGAACAGCATGAATGACATTCAAATAAAATTCTTTAAAGATGAAGAATAAATTGTAAGATCCTGTAAATGTTTAATTGAACCAGAATCATTGATGGGTTTTATTTTGAAAAGGTGGCAATAATTCACCTGGATTTGGGTCTGCCCATTTAGTGGTGGTTGAAGATCAAATCAGCCGCTTCTGTACATCCGTATATCGAATAAATACATCTGTCATGTTTCGGTGAGGAAATCTTGTCCTTGTTTGGCTGAAACTCACCTGAACCTAAACTCTGGTTTAATTGTGGTTAATAGATTAGACTTCCTGGTGTCGTGTCTGGATTCACCTGGAGCCTTTTGAGTCTTTTCTTAATCACACGTCATGTTCTGCCGAAGCTTCTAACGTTCCTTGCCTCGTTTCACGTTGGCTCAAACCTGAATTCAGACGACCGGTTTTTCTTATAAGTTTAAATAAGAAAAGCTACGGAAGAGTCCTGCTCAGCATGTGTTGCTGTGCAGAACGCGGTGAACAGAAATGCAGCTGATAAGTATTCAGAGCTTGTCTAGACTGCATCAGGAGAGAAAACACGCCTCCACCTCTACTGTGTGCACCGATGCTTTGGGATCTCCTTCATCCAGGCAGGAGAAGACGGAGCCTAGAGGGGAATCCCTCCACCTTCTTCCATCCAGCAGGAGAAACGTGAGTGAAGAGCCTCTGTTTTATTTGTTTAAATCAGATCAAAATTCATAGAAATCTTGATGGAGAGCTCTGTTTGGCGGCTCTAGAACCACAGCGCTGACTCAGATCCTGTAATAAACTCAAGAGCAGCTCCTCTGCTGGATGTTTCTGTTCCAGGTCATCTAAAAGGGTTTAATGGAGTCTTCCAGCTGTTACATAACATGCAGCTCAGTCAAGCAGGTGGAACAGCTGGAAGGAGGTTTCACATCTGGAATCATGTGAGATGTATCTGAAGTGTTTCTGTAATTATTGTTCTGAGACGCAAACTGAATGATTCACGTAGCTCTGATGTAGAAACGTCACTTAGAGCAAACATTTGAACCAGAAAACTGTTAAAATGATTCATTTAGGTTCATCTCATCTCTGATCGAAGCTACCATACAGGGCCACATGTGGCCCCGGAGCCACAGCCTGGGGACCCCTGAGTCAGCTGGACAACAGTGATGTCCTCACTGTCTACCTGAAGGCAGGTAAAGCAGGTGATCAACCAGACTCGATAAGCCTAACGGGTTCTTTCGGAACCAGCAGGAGCCTGGTTCAGACCAAGTCCAGAGGCTACATGTTAATTGCTGCTGCTGAATCTTGATTTTTGACTCGTAATCCATGAGAGGGAGACCCGATCGGCTTCCTGCACCAGAACATCCCAGGGATCGTTGTTCTGAGCCTAAAGCAAACATCTCCAGCCTCAGAGCCTCACAATTAATTCATCAGTGAGAAGAACGAGCTGTGGGGGTGGGGGTCCACTTGGATCCGGTTCTGGAGGTCTCCAGCTCAGATTGAACCTCCTTCTGGTCTCATAAACACATTAATAACAACCCTTAAGTCTGGTGTCAGAGTTTAAATGATAAATTATTTATGCTTGAGGAAACCAGTCCAGAACCCCTGATCCAGTCCAGAACCTTTTGGTTTTCCAGACTTCGATGTGATTCGGTGAAGCGGTTCTGGATCAGAAGTTCTAAAGTTCAGGAGGATATTTTTAGGACTTTTTCCTGATATAAAGGTAAAGTCTCATTAGTCATCACACACTGGTGAAACTACTTCTCCGCATGTGACCCATCCCCGTGGAGAGCGGTGGCTGCAGCTGTGGTCGTGCTTGGGAGCCGTTTGGTGGTGGAACCCCCCAATCCAACGACGAGCTGAGCGTTAAGTAGGGATGTGTTGTGTCCCATCTTTATATCTTTGGTATGACCCAACTGGGATTTGAACCCACGATCTTTCAGTCTTCCAGGTTCCTGAGTATTTGTCCTCTGTTAGACCATGTGATCCTGCAGAGATGACGTTTCGGGCCGGAACATCAGAAACTTTCACTAATTTTAGGCTCAGATTTGCTTCACCTAAGAAAAATTTTATAAATAAAAGTTCAACTCATGAAGTTCATTGATGAAAAAAGCCAAGAGTCATTTTAGTTCAAATGGAGCTAACTGGTTTACAGTAACAGGAAGCTGGTTCTGTTTTATTCGTGCAGTTCTGATTCTGTAAACCTGACTCACCCTCTGAAAAGCTTCCAGCAGCCGTTCCTCTCCATTGATCAGGCTGATGCTTTGGCAGAGCGGTCGGTCCAATCCAATCTAATAATGTGCTGAGTCATGCCAGACCACGAAGACCAATCCCACAAATTCCAGCCTCCTGGATTTCAGACAAGAAGTCATTTGCAGAGTCACTCGTTCAGCCTCTCGTTAGTCAGGATTTATTTTTATTTCTCATTTCTAATTAAGAGAAAAGCCTCAGAACTCTTGGGTTCATCTGAGGACACAAAAACTAAAAGTGTGTCATAAAGTAATTTGATTGCTTTAGAGGGCCCATGTTGTGGAAGGAGAGAGTTCTACCTCTGTTTCAGTTGGAGACTGCAGACACTGGGATTATCATCAGATTACATGTTGTGATGTTAGTGATGGGCGGCCTGTGATTGGCTGCTCTGAGTGACATCACTGTGTCTCCGTTTGACTGATCATGTTTGAGTAATCCTGCAGGAGTAACCCTCTGGGATTATGGATGTCCCCCATTTCCAGTTTCATCATTTACTGCTGACAGCTCCACTCCAGATCTCTGATGGGAGAGATTAAGGTCACATAGTGTGTGTGTGTGTGTGTGTGTGTGTGTGTGTGTGTGTGTGTGTGTGTGTGTGTGTGTGTGTGTTCTTGTACATACTACATACTGAGGACCATGTTGACCGTTTTCCTTACAAAATGAGGACTTTTTTTTTTGGTCCTCACCTTTTTTAGAGTGTTGAACAAGACACAAAAGGACAAAGAAAAAAGGCATCGAGTAAAATTTAAAGGGACTTTACGGAGTTTTGAATTTTTATGCTCGCGATTGCCCCCTCAGGCCAAAAGTGTAACAGCAGCTTCAATAGTAGGCTCGTGCACGAGGCGCGCATGCTGTACGTGCACACTCCTTAACGAAAATAACAGCTGAGACAGTCCCGTGTGTGTGTGTGTGTGTGTGTGTGTGTGTGTGTGTGTGTGTGTGTGTGTGTTTGTGTGTGTGTATGTGTGTGTGTGTGTGTGTGTGTGTGTGTGTGTGTGTGTGTGTGTGTGTGTGTGTGTGTGTGTGTGTGTGTGTGTGTGTGTGTGTGTGTGTGGCCTGGAGGACAGAGGACAGGAGAACGCGCAGCTAATTAATTAAATAATTTGGTTCTGTACCTTTTTCTTCAGCACAGCCGACAAAGGTTTAAGATGGGTCAGTCCTCCTGCATGCTCAGATCATTCCCTTCCCTTGCTTGAAAAATTGTTCCAAAATGAAAGTTGAACCCACATCTTTTTTATCTGTGAATTAGGGCGACGGTGGCACAGGAGTTAAATGCTCGCCCCGCAATTGGAAGGTTGCAGGTTTGAGCCCCGCTCAGTCTGTCACTGTCGTTGTGTCCTTGGGCAAGACACTTAACCCACGTTGCCTGCTGGTGGTGGTCGGAGGGACCGGTGGCGCCAGTGCTCTGCAGCCTCGCCTCTGTCAGTGCGCCCCAGGGCAGCTGTGGCTACATTGTAGCTCATCCCCACCAGTGTGTGAATGTGTCTTTGGATGGGTGAATGACTGATTGTGTTGTAAAGCGCTTTGAGGGGTCCCAGGACTCTAGAAGGCGCTATATCAAATACAGGCCATTTAACCATTCAATGCCATTTGGCGATTCTCAAATAAAAATTTGGGCATCTTACTGTAAAAAAATATACCATTAATCGATTGGCTTAATGAACTGTCCTGAATTGGAATGTTTATTATGTGAAGTGCCTTGAGACGACTCTTGTCGTGATTTGGCGCTATATAAATAAACTTGAATTGAATTGAATTGAATTGAATTAATGTAAAAAAGAAACTCTAAATAAACTATGTTCAAATCCAGAATCGAGCCCAGATCTTTTGCACGAGAGTCTGATGTCTTACTAGGTGAGCTAAGGCACCAGTGATGTTCTTTATATCTGTAACATTTATATCCTTGATGACAGCTGAAACAACATTCAAAGAATGGTTCGGAGCGAAAATGGCTATTTTGTTGCTAATTTTCAGGAAATATCTAGAAGAAAGTTCTACAGAAAGTAACTAAGGGTCCTCAGAAATGTAGCTAGCTTTGTCACTAGGCGTTAGGAATAGCGACAAAGTGGCACTACCTCTCTCTCTGCTGCTAAAGCTACAGATAGCAAATGCTACGGGCTATGCCTGAGCGTGAACGCGCATGAAGCAGCCTGCTCGACCCGAGCATCTCTCAAATTTCTGTGATTTTACAGAAAAACAGGCAATCACAGTAAAAATGCCAGGGCTCATTTTACAGCACCAGGGCATTGCAGGAGAATGTATGAAGAAGAAATTTATTATTTCTATACATGTTTTGGCTGTCAAACTTCCATAATGCCCCTTTAAAGACATTTAAAACCATGAACAAGTTAAATAAACATTATTTTTGAATAATATAGATAATTATAAAACACTTAAGTGTAATTTAGCTAATCATAAATTATGATATTACTGTAGAATAATACAGAATATATCACTATTATTAAACAATATAGTAATTTTTTATAAAGACAGATCACTGTAAATCTTCTTGAAAGTTACTGAACAATAGATAACATTTCTGATCAAATACAGATTATCAGAAAAGTTTAGAATATGATACATTTGAGGATCTTCCTCCTCTTCACCACCATCACCGATAGAGAGTTTGGGTGGAACATTAACTGTCCTCCTCCATTTTCTATTTAAATATTAGTTTAAAACTGCTAAATATATTCAGTATTATAATTGTTATTATTACTGTTACTATAGACATGAAGATGTCTAAAAACAACAGATTTTATCTAAAAAACACACATCATTTCTTTGACTTTTTCAGGGCGTATGTTCAAATACGGCAGCTTTGATATTCATGCTATGATTTCACCAACTCCACTGAGTTGAGAACACATGAATCCTTATTAACACAACTAGTCCAGCTGGTGACAAACCTAGCATTGGAGATCTGACCGTAAACACGAGAGGAGACCGAGCAGTTTTCCGGCTCTGCAGACCCACCAATATTTGGCACTCCATAGCGCCGCTGATTGTGGCTATAGCTTCATTTCTAATGATTCTTTGGGAGAAATCCCATAATTTTAAGAGTCAGTGAAAAGTCATACCGCCATCATTTATGATATAAAGGGTGTAGTACTAAAATACTAATACTAAAAAACAATAATAAATAATCCCACACCACATAAAAACAAAGAACAAGCAGGCATTAAAAGTTAAGAGCAGTAACAAACCATCATCCTGCCGCCACAGCCCAGTAACAGTAAACTAAGGCAGAGTCGGCCTTTAAACCTTCGACGGGAGCTATGCTTAACATCACGAGAGAGGCATCGTTTAACTCTTAAGGAGAATAAAGAAAACTAAAACATGTTTAAGCTGTGGTCTGTGGCTCATCAGCATCACCATGGTAACCACCATGCTGTTAGAATTTTATGATTTGAGGGGAAACTGATCCTGATGAA